TAGGCTGTCTTTTTGTTTTGTTGATGATTTCTTTCACTGTCCAGAAGTTTTTTAGGTTGATATAGTCACATTTAAAAATTTTTTTGCTTTTGTTTCCCTTGCCTGAGAAGATAGATCCAAAAAAAGTATTGATAAAACTGATTTCTGAGAGCTTACCACCTATGTTTTCTTCTAGGAGTTTTATGGCTTCAAGTCTTACTTTTAAGTATTTAGTTCATTCTGAGTTTATGTTTGTATATGATGTGGGAAAATGGTCCAGTTTCATTCATTTGCATGTAGCTGTTCTGTTTCTCCACAACCATTTATGAAGAAGCTTTCTTTTCCATATTGTATATTCTCCTCTTCTTTGTCATAGATTAATTGACCTTATAAGCTTGGGTTTATTTCTGGGCTCTCTATTCTGTTCCATTGAGCTATGCATCTATGTTTATGTCAATACTATACTATTTTGATTACTGTAGTTGTAGTATACTTTGAAATCAGGGAGCATGATACCTCCAGCTTTGTTCTTCTTAAGATTGCGTTGGCTATTCAGAGTCTTTTATGATTCCTTACAAAATTTAGGATTATCTGTTCTAGTTTTGTAAAAAGAAAAAAAACCATTGGTATTTTGATAGAGAATGCATTGACTCTGTAGATTGCCTTGTGTAGTATAGACATTCAAACCATATTAATTTTTCCAATCCATGAGCATAGTATATATTTCCATTTATTTGTGTCACCTTTAATTTTTTTCATCAATGTCATAGTTTTCAGAGTACAGGTCTTTCACTTCCTTGGTTAGATTGAGTCCTAGTTATTTTATTCTGTTGATGCAATTATAAAAGGGATTGTTTTCTTAATTTCTCTTTCTGATAAACACAAAAGATTTCTGTATTTTAATTTTGTATCCTGCAACTTTACTGAATTCATTAAGTTGGAATAGTTTTTTGATGCAGTCTTTAGGATTTTCTATATGTTGCCAGAGAAGAAACTCAAAAAGCAAAAAGGCTATCCCAATCAGCCATAAAGCATCAAGTAAAAGTAACCCAGAAGCAAATGTGGTTTCACCTCCTTGCTGCTGGGACCCCCACCTGAAAAGATAGACTAATGGATTGGCAAATCTACATTGTGCTGGTCAGCCTGTGGAAACACTTAAAACCCAAACAATAGTTTAGACCTGCTCCACCTGCTCCTTCTAACCCTGATAACCCACCGACTCCAGTTGAGGCCTCAGAGACAGTCCTATCCAGAGTGGGTGACCCTTTGGACTTTGCTGGAACATCTGTGAGAGAGAGGATGAACCGTGAATGCACAACAGTTTAAAGATCCAGGCACTGCCTTAAAGTTCTGAGGAGTCATATGATCAAGTAAGACATGCATTGTTTCAGAAACTGTAATTGACAAGATGTATGCCTACCTAACCTCTAACAACATGAAAAAGATACAAGTGTTTGTAGGGATTTGGGGATTTTAGAAGACTTGTATTCCCCACCTGGCACAGTGCTTTCGTCTTTTCTACTGCCTGGTAAAGAAAGGGCACATGTTGATTGGGAATCAGAGCAGCAAACCACCTTTGAGAAGGTAAAAATACTCGTGAGCAGATTACAGCTCTGGGCACCTCCCAAGCAGTGCCACCATTTGAGTTGGTTGTATCTGTGATTCTGGAAGTATGGGTTGGGCACTGTGGCAGAGACAACGGAAGGAAAGAGTATCACTAGGATTTTGGTTCCAGTTCTAGAATGGGACAGAAACCCAAGGTGCCCCCATAGAGTAACAGCTTCTAGCATCATACACAGAGCTCCTCCAACTACAGCCTTTCAAGAAGGAGCAGCATTTTGTCGTAAAAACCTCCCTTTCCTATCAGGGAGTGGGTAGAGAATGTCTTACATTGACCCACTTCTGCCATGGCTCAAACTCCCCCCTTTAACTAAGTGGCATGCCTGTTTGCAGGAGAGGAGCACCTTGTCTTCCAGCCCTAGAAATGTGGGTGCTACTAGGCTGTGTAGATCCTCCAAATGCTGTTAGCCCTGTTCCTGTGGCAGCCCCTGGGGTCTGTAGAGAGGGACTGAGATAAATTCCCATCGATGCCTGGTGTACAAGTGGGTTTAGTCTGGGCCACCTTCCCACTGGACTACAATCACTATTCAGCCCAATATTGACTCCATCTGGGTAAAAACAGGAACAAACTGCAATAGCCAGTGAATGATCACTCATGAGTTCTGGCCATTAACACTTTCCACTGACAGGTGGGCTGTTATAAAGGAATTAACCCTATGGCTTGGATAATGGGAAGCCGAGGGATGGACGATCATGAATAATCCCTCGGGGTCAGGGTGTGTGGAAAGACATTGAGTTCACCGGCAAGAGCCTGAGGCAGTCCTCATTGTCTTTCACATCTCAGCTTTGAAGGAGCTGAAAATCCTGGCAGCCAGGAAGCTGATGCCCTAGCTCAGGTGTGAGCCTTTTGCAACTGACCCTTCAGTAGATACAGCAGATTGAGTACCTAGGAAAAATGGCCATGATAGCTCCCTGGTGAGATGGCATATTGCCAAAGATGCCAGATTGCTCTTAAAATGCAGTCGTTTGGTTAGTGCATTAACAGCATGTCCTGTGTATTCTGAAAATATACAGGGCTACTGCCAGTGAAGTTCAGGGCCATCCACTGGAGTTCCCAACCAGTAAGGGATTCACAAGTTGATTATATTGGCCCCTCCACCAAGTGAGAATTCTAAATATGCTTTAATTTGCATGGACACTATGTCTAACGTAATCCAAATTTTTCTCATTGCCACACAAACCAGGCTGCCACCGTGAGGGGATTAGAAAACCTGAGTACCAACTATGGATTCTCTCCTCATGGCATAGACAGTGACTGTGGGTCACATTTCAAAGGTCATGATGTGCAAGAATGGACAAAGGAACATGATGTTGAATGGAGATTCCATCTCCCCTATAACCCACAAGAAGCAGGGTTGGTAGAAAAGAAAAATACAATATTAAAGCAGCATATTAAATTACTATTAGGTAAAAACCACCTTGACTGGTTGGACACAAGTACTGTCCCAGGCTTTAATACATTTGAATGATCAACCAGTAGGGCCTGTTGCTCCATATTGCCAGACTGGGGACCCCTTCTGAGACACCCAATACTGTAAAGGTATAGAAGTGTCAGGAAATAGCCATTGCTCCAATTCTCACCCTGGATCAAAGTGCTAAGCTTTGATCACTAAGCCCCATCATGCCTGGGAGAGGCATTATCTACTGGAATTTGCAATGGAAAGTCCCACTCAGACGGGTAAGTTACTTCGCATCGCTGTGTAAGGGAGGATGACTCAGTCTCCACTAGGATTCGATTGTCCTGCTGCCACTCAGATCTGCCAAAATGTACTATATCTAGAATGGAACATGCACCATTGAAAGAGGAGAAAATGGGGGTCCTGATCTGGTATATCTTGTCCCCAGTCCATCTCCTCACATCTGATGGTGCTGCCTTCCCCAGCCAACATGAGTGGTATGCACAACCAGGCCAAGTTCCTACAATTGCCAATTCCCTCTCAAGGCCAGGGGACACGTGCTGTTTCCACCGATACAAGTATTTGACTACCATCTTTGTTCCCTCCTTCGGCCTGGGGGACATTATAGCACATATAGCAGCCCCATACCCAGCAAGCCTTAAATGGTAGGTGACAAAGCCTGTCCTTAGTGAACACTGACTTGTCTCTAATGAGAAAATCTGTCCTACAAAATAGGATGGCCTTGGACCATATTACTACCTCACAAGGAGGCACCTGTGCCATTATCCAAACAGAATGTATCATCTTTATTAAATCACGTGGCAACACACATAAACACCCTGAGTGCTCCAACCTCCAGCTGAAGGGATTTAATACATCAGCGGTTTGGATCACAGGGCTCTTGGTGGAAAAGAATAGTTATTTATTAGGGGACTCATTGTCTTAGTCTATATTTTCTGTTGCATGTGCCTATCTGCCTCCCATGCAGCCAGATAGCTGCCAAATGAGCCACCTCCATACCAATGAAAGCTTTGCTTAACCATTCAGGGCACTTGCTGAAGAGGGGGACATATAAGATTGTAAGAGCCAGTCATGAGGGGAAATGTTGGAGGAGGTGTCTGAGAGGACATGACAGCTGATTGACCCAGGATCTCGACCTTGAGAGAATAAGGTGTTTTTGAGACCACTGGGACTGAATATGTGACTGAGTCCAGTTAAGGCCTCTATATAATCTTTTAAGATTCTGGCAGGCAGGTCTGGAGATCTATTCATCTTGCAGCCACTCAAAACAAGCCTCCTATGTAAGTTCCTTTGTTATTAAACCCATCATCTGGAGTGGTCTGCTTCTTTGTTCAGTCTCGCCTGGCCGTCTGTGTATGGGGGCCAATTTGCCAACAAACCTATAAATCTGGCTAGAAATCTTTCATAGTTCTCAAAGCCATTCTAATGACAGAATTGGTAGGAATAAAACCAAGATGGAGCAGTACTAATAAATGCAAAATAATTTTTTGCACGTAGTCATTTTAATGTGATTCCAAAAGTTTCAAAGATTTTGTTGTTATTCTTATAACTCTAAAGACTGTAAACTTTTTTCACAACAATCCTGCACTCCTCTATGTGATAATTCTCTCCTTACCTAACTTGTGCTTTCAATGCCTGTTCAGCCCTTGTGTGTTTCTGGATCCCTTCCGCTCCATTTAGCTGGGAATCCCTCTCCTGGATTTATTCTTCGGATCTGATAACTGGAAACCTGTTCTAGCTTGGAGCCCCTAGAAGACTGTTTGGTGATAGGCTTTGTGTAAACACCTTATTTGCAAACACACTCCCAGAAATGAAAAACAAGGGAAAGAGAAGAAAGAGACAGGGAGAAAGGGACAGAGAATAAAGAGAGTGTTTCCAAGCTGGCCACAGCTCTGCAACAAGCATAACTGATCATTTGTTTTTAGGGGAGTCTTCTGAGAGGCTGTATAAACTATTGTTTTGTTTTGTTTTGTTTTCGAATAGGGCATCTTGGGAGAGTAAGGAATTGTTGTGGTGGCTTTGTCAGCCAGATTTCAGAAGCAAGACAAGTGCTAGAAGCCGAAGTGGTATGAAGTAGTGAGTATACTGGCCATTCTTGGTCTGACCAACGTGGCTTCTGGCTTCTTCACTACTGTGATGCCTACTTTGATCTCTTAACCACTCCTACGCCACTTCTAAAGTATAAAATATGACAGTATACTTAATATTATAATTGGATTTTCTCCTTAATATATAGCAAATTGCTTATGTGCATGAATCATAGGTTCTGATAGCAGAAATTATATATCATGTTTCATGAGGTGGCATGAGAAAAATTTGAGAATAATTCATAAAACCACACAAAAAAATAAAACCACATGGTAAATAAAAGATCCATTTATCTCAGTGTTTTTAAAGAATCACAGTCATAGGCAGACAACAATACTTTCCTAGGAGATAATAACTATGTTCTATTCTCTCACTGTTGATTGCAGAATTGAATTGACAGAACGTGAACATTTATTTAATTAGATACTATGTTATTTAGTTAGATTATTATATTAGTTTTTTATAATGATCATTCTAATGTCTCTCACTAGTGATAACTATTGGTTACAAGTAGAGTATAAAATGGTTCTAAAGGAACTTTAAGTATATGTAGCCATTTAATTCAGTATCTAAGCAGTGCTTGTCAGGGAGCACACAACACAAATTGTTAGAAAACTGAAAGTTCTATTTTATTCTCTGTTTGGCAGTGGTGTAAATAGTTTTAATTTATTAATTTATTATTTATCAATATTATTATTACAATCCTTTCTTCCCATTAAATGAGTGCATACTTCTGAGCTGTGGTCTAACCCCTTTGTTATAAAGTGGGGTGTGTGTACCATTTCCTACTTATAATTTAGCAGACCCTAGAGGAATCAAGGAGATGAATTACTTCTCTTCTCCTTACAGAATTATTTTGAGGAAAGTTGTGATGATAATAATTACAACATAAAATAAGTACATGACAAATGGTGAAAAATAAGAATTGGTCCACAAGTAAAATGACAATAATCATTCTCTACTTCTATTTCTGAATATGCTGAATATTCTTATGTGCTGGTACATGAAGTCAGTCACAAATGTAATCTGGACTATGATCTTTAGGATATTTGTTTTATTTTATCCATTTTCTCATGACATTTTAAGAATATATAGTGCGATACAAAAAAATCCTTTCTTACAAGTGCACATTTTAATGAAAAAAGTTATAAAGGCCCTGAAGAAAAAAAAAAATCACAAAAGAACTACAAATGGCCTCTAAACAGATAGAAATGTATGCAGTTTTACTGGTAACTGAGTGGAAAAAATGGACCAAAAAAAAATTCAGTCGCAAGTGGACAAAAAAAAAATCCTCCTATTTTCCATATCAGAAGAGTTTTGTATGGTTGAATGTGTGGAAATGAACCCCCCCCCACAAGTGCTAATGGTGGTGTAAATTATTTTAGTCTTTTCAGAGGGAAATTCACAGTGCATATTTTAAAAATCTTAAAATTGTCTTATTTTTGTTTCTAATAAAAAGTAACCATAAGCAATAGAGTTTTGACTACTTTGATGTTAGTTTTCTCTTTTTTAAAATAATAGCAAACATTTTGAGTAGCTATAGGAAATTAATAGGGCTATTCTTTATACTAAAATACTGTAATAGTGATTAATAAAATAAAATACTGTAATAATCATTAAAATGATTGCATAGTAGAACATTTAATGAAATGAAAATATATTTATGGCATAATTTTAGCAAAAAGATAAAATTAAAATTCTAAATATTGTCATCCTAGATTTCAAAGTTACATATAAAATTGCCAGTGTTAATTAATTGATTTGCCAATTCATTAATTGAACAAATATTAGTCACATATTATGTGTGAGTTATGCACATGTGATGAAATTATGGGTTCCTATATTTTCTTTTTCCTTATCAACATTTTCTAAATTCTCTACAGTAAACATGTGTTATGTATTACTATCACATTAGAGAAACAATATTTATGAACCAAAAGAATAAAATTAAAATAATTTTAATTTATGATTAAACTATAATATACTTTTAGTTATACTAAATTGAGAATGTCAGCCAGTCTCCAGAAATGGCCACATATCCCAGTATCCAAGCTCATGTTCATGTATAGCACCCTACATTTGAATCTGGGTTTGTCCTGTTATTTGCTTTTGACCAGAGTGTTGTGGAAGTGGTGATGTGTGACTTCAAAGCCATGAGAAACTTATAACCTCTACCTGAGTCTTTTTAAACTCGTGGGGACTCTCCCTCTTGAGACACTCTTCTGAAATCAGTTGCCATGCTGTGGGAATGGCTAAGTGTAGGCATTCTGGTTGGTAGCCCCCGTTGGACTTTGAACCAGAAGCCAGCATCAACTGTCAAACATGTGAGTGACCATGTTAAATGCCCAGCCCAGCCGAGTCTTCAAATACCTGCAGCTCCTGTTGACCTCTGGCTAAAATGGCATGAAAAACCCCAAGCAAGAACTACCTAGCTGAGATCAGTCAACCCACATAACCATGAGAGATTTGAATAAATTTCTGCTTGAAGCCACTAAGATTTAGGATGATTTGTTATGCAGTAACCAGAACAGAAAACTTCTCGACCTAAAATACTTAATAAGTCTTTTGTAGCTCAATGTGCTCAGTCTTCTGAACGCCTCTTAAAATAGATCTACCATTGCTTCTCCTCTTCAGATCCACATTAAGTGCTTTCTACATATATGAAAGGCTTTTTTCATCCTTCCTCCCTTACCCTCATACAGGTATCCATATCTACTACTGAATATTCTGTAGATTTAGAAATATTCAGGACTATTTAAAAACAGTTTATGAAGTAGGGGAGAGGAAGCTTTTTGAACTTCTGTTCCAAGAATCCCATTGGCTTTCTTTTTGAGTACTCTGAGAAAATCTGCTCCTTCTTCTTACTACTCCCCAGACTCCATCTTATCCAGTAGTCTTACAGGCTTTTAAAATACCCGAATGCTTCAAGGATCAGTTCTCAGACTTCCTCTCCTCTTTCCTTTATCTTTGTGGCTTCAAATACCTTCTATATATGGAAAAGAGGAATCTGAAATATATATATAACCGACTTGGACATTTCCTCTGAATTTTTAGATTCATACTAAACCATCCATTTCAATTTCACACTTCCATTTCACTGTGAAAATGAAATATACGGAATTGAATTCCTAAATTCCTGATTCTCTCCACCTACCAACCACCAACACAACAAAGTTGCTCCTCTTGTGTAATTAGCAATTTTAATAAATAGCAACTCTGTTCTTCCAGTTGCCAAACCAAAACTTTGGGAGCCATACTGGACTGCACTTTTATTTTTCCTTACATAAGGCTTATCTCGTTTTATTGCACTTCACTTTATTAAACTGCAAAGATACTGTTTTTTATAAATTGAAGGTTTTGGCAACACCGCATCAGGAGAGTGTATGCTGCCATTTTTCTAACAGTATTTGCTCACCTTTAGTCTCTGTGTCAGATTTTGCTTATTTGAACAGTATTTCAAACTTTTTCATTATTGCTGTGTTTGTTATGGTGCTCTATGATCAGTGACCTTTTATATTACCATTGCAAAAAGACTGCAACTTGGGAAGGCTCAGATGATGGTTAGCATTTTTTTAGCAATAAAGTATTTTTTTATTTAAGGTTTGTACATTGTTTTTTTAGACATAATACTATTGCACACTAAATAAACTATAATGCAGTGTAAACATAACTTTCATATGCACTGGAAAGCCAAAAAATTCAGGTGACATTTATTGCAATATTCACTTTATTGTGGTGGTGCAATTTCTTTGTCCAGGCATCCTAATCTTTTTCCAGCTTCCCATAGCTGCCTCTGCCCTCACAACTCTCTCCACAAAATGCAAGGGATATCCTAACAAAAATAAAATCATCTTACTCCATTGCTTAAAACTATTTGAGATTTCCATTTTCACTTAATAAATGCCAAATTCTTTATAGTGGTTCTAAGGCTCTATTCAACTGAAATTGCCACTACCTCTTTAACACATCTCCTGTGTGCCCACCCCCCATGCATCCCAGTCCAGTACCACTAGTCTCAACCTTGTTTCTTGACCTCACCTAGTAGACTCTTGTCTCCAAGTCTTTGTACTCCATTTCCCTCTCCTGCAATGCTTTTCCTGCTGATGTTTGCATAGTTTCCTTCCCCATTTACCTTCAGTCTCTTTTCAAATTCTGCCTTTTGAATGGTATCTCCATTTACCATCTTAAATAACAGTAATAA